ATTTCAAAGCAATGTGTGAAAGAAGGCATGGAAAACAGTGTAGGAACAATATTCTCTCCAATAAATGGTATCAGGACAACACGATATTCATTTAGAAAAATATTATTTACTAACCAACTTCTAGGAACATTAAAATCTACCAAAATTATTAAATTATTAGAAAATGAAGAACAATGTCCTAGACAAGCACTAAAGCAAAATTCCATACAGTAAATCATTGAAAACCTGGACCAAAATAAAATGAAAAGTTTATGGTGACACCACCTTCAATTTCATCATTATTCCAATTGTCATGGGGCTGAGATTTACCCCATTTATATCAGTGTGAGAACGGACAAGTGGAATCATTGAGTGCGACTGGTGCTCCAAGACACTCCTGTCCTCGCTGGTCAGACACTGTGCAGTGAAGAGGGTGTGCATGTCATCCTGGACCCAGTGCCCAGCGTTCGACTCTCTGACTGGTGGCATCCTTAGCATCTGCCCTCCCTGACAGCACGGCTACTGCTTCCAGGCCCTGGGGGCAGCTGAGCTAGGACAGTCCATGAGCAGTTGGACTCCAATGTGGAGGGACAGCCGGATTCACATCTGGTTGGTGATGCTCATGCTCTGCAGGTTCCTGGGGCTCCTGTCAGGGGTGGGAGAAGGGTGGAATCAAGAGAAAACCACTAGGGTTTATAAATATATTGTATTTAAAAATCTGCATTTGAAAGAAGTAACTTGGCCCTATTTTCTTTGTTAACTCCCCAATTGGTGTTTTGGGGTTGTCTTTATTTTTTTTAACCCAGCTAAAATGGATGATCTTGCTCCAGGGAAAAATTTAAGTCTTTAATCTCCAAACAAGGAAGTTCCAGCATTCCCTGATGGATCAGAGGAAGCTTAGAGACCTAAAATTGCTGACTCCATTGCTTCCAATTTAGCTGCTGCTCAAGTTCAAGTGAATATTCTCTCTTCTCCCCTTATCCTTCCCCAGAAATAAAGCAGGTGACAGGGTTTTCAGAAAAAAAAATCTTATGATGGCAGAAGCAGAGTTTGAAGATGTGATACAGTAGAAGTTTTACATTATTTTTTAAATGATATATAGGTATAAATACATACACACACATCATGCACATAAATATATTCTTAACTCCTTAAAATCAATAAGAAAAACACAATGAATAAAATAGAACATGTTCAAAAATATGAGCAGATAATTCAGAGAGAACCATGAAATTACAAAAAATACATGAAAATTTCAACTACACTGGTAATGAGAGAAGTACAATTGATATGATATTAAGATAAATTGTTTGCCAATCGAATTGGGGAAAATGAAAGCCTTTGATAATGTATAATTTCAAGATTCCAAGACGTCTGTGATCCCTAAGCATCTGAATGGTTAACTGCTAAGCTTAAAGAATCTTAGAATTGTAAAGTTGACAGGTACTGTGCAGTTCACCTGGTCTGGCCTTGTCGTCCTATGGATGGAGGCACCTGTGTGCTCAGAAGGTTGGCTTATATTCTTGAAGTCTTTGACTTTTCTCCATCCACAAATATATAAGGAACACACTTTCCTGCCATTTTTAAGCTACTGTATCTTTCTTCTTCTATTAATTTCCTTCTAAATAAGATAAATGATTGACTAGAACATGGAAATCACTTAAGCCACAAGTCAACAAAATTTTTCATGTTAAAAATGAAACATAAAAAAATGACAGTATTGTTGATTGGATATGGAGGATTGATCCTCTCATATAGAACCTGGGTAATTTCACAGGTGCCATTAGATAGAAGTGTGGCAGAATTTATGACAATGTAAAATACATATGCTCTATGACTCAGTATTTGAACCACTTGATGCCTAGTCTAAGGAAATTTACAAATGTTCTCCCTATGGCACTTTTGAAACATTCATTGCAGAATTATTGTAGCAATGAGAAACAAGAGCCCATCTAAATGTGCATCAACAAAGGGAATGGCAATGCATAATTTATTCATATTGTGTCATCTAAATATATGCAACAGCAGCCAAAAAGAAAGATGTGGATCTGTATGTATGACATACAAAAACTCTCCCAAAATATTGTTGACTAAAGGACGAGTTGTGAACAAAGTTCACACTATAGAAAATTTTATGTTAAAACACAACTACAACTAATGTAAATACAAACATTTTATACATAAAACAACCATAAGAAGGCTCTGAAAGGTGTAGAGAAGGCACATAGCACAGGAACCGTGGGACCCAAGGAAATACGCAGTGTTGATTCTGTGGGTTTTCTTCCTGCCTCATACATCCCAGACTTGGCACAAAGAGGTTGCAACCCAGAAATACCAACGGGTGCAGATAAAAGAAGTGCCCGCAAGAGAAACCTGCTCCCCCCTTAGCCAAAAGACCAAGAAAAGGGCAGCCAACACAACAGAGAGTAGGTCAACAGTAACTGCCCACTCCAACCAAACACCACAGAAAAGACTGTGTCCCACGCTTCCCCTCAGCAGCAGAGGTCAGGTGGGAAGCCCAGCCCTCCACTCCTGCCATCTGTAAGGAAGCACTCCTCCCACCCGATGGGCTGCAGCAGAGAAGGAGGTGGGATGCCTATCATGCCCATTGGAAAGAGCCCCTGTCTGTGGAGTCAGTGGAGGCATGTGGGGAGGTTTCTCTACAGCCCAGTCAGGTGGTGTCAGCAGAGGCCTGGTTGTGAGCGAGACCCTCCAACCCCCCCCCAGCAGTAACAAGGTATCCCTCCCCCACGGGAGCATTAGTGGAGCCCAAGCAGGAAAGCTGGATCCCACCCTCATGGGCCAGAAACGAGATGGCAGCCCTTTCCCCACTGCAATGATGTCAGAGGAGTCAGCCAAAACTGAAGAAGTTAATAAAATCTAGTTTTGAAACATAATACCTTAAATATCCAGGATACAGTAAAAAATCGTTGTCATCCCAAGAACCAGGAAAATCTCAGCTTGAGATGACACAAATGTTAGAATCCTCTGACAAGTATTTTAAGACACCTATAACGAAAAATGTTCCAGTGAACAATTACACACAAACTTTTCAGAAATAAGTGAAAAAATAAAAAATCTCAGCAGAGAAATAGAAAACCTTGACAAAAAGCATGATACAAAAAAGACCTAAATGGAAATTTTAGACCTGAAAAATCCAATAACTGAAATGAAAACTTGTCTGGATGAGCTTAATAGCAGAATGGAGGGAAAAAAAGGATAAAAAAAATCACCAAACTTGAAGACAGAACAATAAAAATTGCCCAATTTGAATAACAGAAAGAAAATAGGCTATAAAAAAATGAACAGAGTGTGAGGGACCTGTGAGACTATAACAAAAATCTGATATTTGTGTCATTGAATTCCAGAGGGAGATAAGAGAATGTGGATCTCAAAATTGTTCAGAGGAATAAATGGCTAAAAATTTCTCAAATTTTCCAAAAGACAAAAACATATAGATTCAAGAAGCTGTGGAATCTCCAAATAGGATAAACTCAAAGAAACCCATGCCAGGATACATCAAAATCAAACTTGTGAAAACTAAAGACAGTGGAAAAGCCTTGGAAGCAGTGAGAGAGAATGAAACCTTACCGATAAAGGAAAAACTGTCTGAATCACAGCTAATTTCTGATCAGAAACCATGGGTTCCAGTGCAGTGTAGCAGAATATATTTCAAATTTTGAATGAAAAGAGTTGTCAGCCCCAAATTCTGTTTCCAGAAAAATTATCCTTCAGGAATGAAGGAGAAATCAAATCAAGCTTTTCTGACAAAAGTTACTTTTTCTCAAAAATTGAATTTCACATGGTAATGTGGACTGAATTGGATCCCCCCAAATTCGTATGTTGAAGCCCCATATGACTCCCTCATGTGATTGTATTTGGAGATAAGACCATTTAGGAATAGTTAAGGTTAAATGAGGTCCCAAGGGTGGGGCCCTAATCCCTTAGGATTAATGTCCTTCCAAGAAGAAGAGACATCAGTGATCTCTCCCTCTGTCCCCCCTTCTCTCTCTCTCTCTCTCTCTCTCTCTCCCCCCGCCACACACAGAGCAAAGACCATGAGACCATGTGAAGACACAGCAAGAAGGCACCATCTACAAGCCAAGAGACAGATCTCCCCAGAAACCAGCCCTGCCAACATCTTGATCTTGGACATACAGCCTCCAGAACTGTGAGAAAATAAATTTCTGTTCTTTAAGCTGCCAAGTTTATGCCATTTTGTTATAGCAATCCTAGCAGACTAATACATGTAGAAAATAAAGCAAGCATTAAAAATGCAAAGAAAATCACCATAATTCCACCACACAGACTACTGGAAAATTTTGGGGGTATGCTTTTCCTCATCTTTTAAAACAAATCAGGAATATTTTCCTTTGTCAGTAAATAGTAATCTAAGACTGTTTTGATATTGTTGAAGAACAGAAAAATCTTAGTTTTATACCTGCCAGGATTTAGGGATTATGGGATAGCATGAAGGAGGTCTTGTGGTGATGGAATAGTATATGTCATGATTGGAGGGACAGTTACAGGCATGTGCACATGATAAAATGGCATAAAACTATACACACGTTGTGCCTATGTAAATTTCTTGGTTTAGATATTGGGCTATCATTACATAAAAATATAAGTTTTTCAGGAAACTGGGTGAAGGGTACACAGGACCTCTTGGTATTATTTTTGCAACTTCTGTGCATCTATATCTTTTCCAAATAAAAATATAAAAATAAATGTCTATTAATACATAATAAATAGATACATCTGTTCCCTCTGAACTACATCCATCCTGGGGGCAAAAAGACCAGTAGACTGACTTTGTTTGGGGAGGTATTTTGATGCACAATCACGTCTTCCTATATCAAAAAGGTTTAAAAACCACCATCAAGGAGGCTTTCACAACAAACGTTAAGGATGCTGTGCAAACACTTAAAAATAGAACTGTGAGTTTCAGAGAAATTAGATTAGGGGGAAGAAAGCAACCAGACCTCTGTTTTCCTAAGTCAGCTCATTAGGCACAAGTCGTATTTAAAGTGAGACTTCTTCACACTCACAGACCAAGATCCGACATCCTCCGTGGCTGGGCTTGCTGGACTCTCTGTGCACCATGAGAAACAGACATCTCAGGTTGCTGCCAGGTAGGAAGGATCATAACAATGGTGAGAGAAGACTAAAGCTACCTAGGAACTGTCTGTCCAGTTTGAGAATGTTCTCTGTTCTGTGATCAATTTCTGGCTCATTTTCCCACTATTTCTGTAAGGGAGAGCAGGGAAGAAATTATAAGAAAGATAGTAGCCCCATTATATTTAGTCTCAAAGGAGAAAGTCAATGAAGCTTATTCGTAGGGCGCAGGTGGAGACTTAAGAGAGATTTCTTATTTCACCACCTGTATTTGTGCAGGTTCTCAAAAGAACAGAACCAATAGGATGTGTGTGTGTGTGTGTATATATATATATATATATATATATATATATATATATATATATATATATACAGAGAGAGAGGGGGGGATTTATTTTTAGGAATTGGCACATGCAATTGTGGAGATTAGAATGTCCGAATTCTTCAGGGCAAGTAGACAGGCTGGAAATTGGGGAAGACCTGATGCTGCATCTTGAGTCCAAAGGCAGTCTGGACTCAGTCAGTCTTTATTCTCTTAACATCTTCAGCTGACTTGATGAGGGTCACCCAGATTACGAAGGGTAATCTACTACACTCAAAGCCTTCTGATTTAAATGTGAATATTTCCAAAAATCACATTCACAGCAAATCTAGGCTAACGTTTGACCAAATATCTGGGTGCTCTACCCTGGAATAACTGGTACATAATATTTTTTTTCAGAAGAGTAGATAACCAAACTCTCTGAAAATTCTAATGCACTGAGAAAAAATGTCATCCTTTATGTTATAGGCTTTGTGTAGGTCATGAAATTCTTTGAGGGACAATAACAGTGAATTAGTAATAACCAGTATTAGTGAGGTCAGCTTAATTCTGATTAGTCTCTATTTCCTTCAATGCTTAAGATAATACCCATTACCTAGCAGGTTATGTTCTTCTTATATGTTGTTCTCATTGGTTGGAACTTTTTTCCTGGTTTCTATCAAAATAGTCATATTTATTATCATCTGATTTGTGGAACATGATTTTTTTTAAAGCTGAGCACATTTTGGAGGGTCCAATGTGCAACATAGTGTGGGGCTTTGAAAGAAATGAAGAGCAAAGTTAGCTTCTCCCAGATATGCACATTTTTAGGTGTGCATGTATAACATCTCAGTAGACTAATGACCTTATTCACATGCATGGGACATTAGGATCATTTGCGCCTGCTCTGGGGGCCACACTCTAGGAACAGGAGCACGGTTGATGGGCATCTGAGGCATGAGTCGCCTGCACAGCTTTCCCGAGGGGCAGCTCCGGGCTGGGTGTGGTCTCGGGTGGTCTGGCCCCGGAGCCTGGCTTTCCTCAGCACAGGTTGGAGCCACAAAAGAAAAGGACATTTCGTGGCAAGGAGGGCAGAGTGGAAGTCTAGGACTCTGACCCCTGAGAGAACCGAGCTGAGCGTGTGATTCCGCCTGACCCTGGAGTCTGGCGCATGCAGCTGTGTCTCAGGGAACAGGAAGGTAGAAGAGGAACAGGAGGGAAACTGCTCTTCCTTTCCTTCTTCTGCTCTTTCCTTCCCTTTAGCTGATGTACGTTGTCTGTTTGCTCTGTGTCAGGCACTGCGCTAACCCGTTGTTAGTCTTCACTAATCTACGGTCAGAATAAAGCTCATCCTATCACAGTTACCGTTGCACCCACTTTGCACTGGGGCAAGCGTGGGCAAAGAATGGGCAGCGTTCCTGAAGCCGTGCACCCACCAGGGGGAAGTCTGGGCTGCAGACGTGGGCGTGTCCATCTCCAAACCCATCGTCCGCCAGGGTCCTCCACCACCTTGCACAGTGAGAACTGGCAGTGCAACGTTAAGAGAAATTCATCTTTGCTTTTAGCCAAAAAGAAAAATTCCGTAAAGGCATGCAGATCTGAAGATTTTCAGCTCACGTAGATGTGATGACAGACCCTGTGAGGCAGACTGATTGTGGCCTGTACAGCAGACTTCATTCCTTAGTGCCCATAGCGGCTTTCACCCCACCACGCCTGCTCAGTGACTCATTTCTCAGGACTGGCCTGGGGGCCAAGGAGGAAGGCTGTGCCCTCAGTGCACTAGAGGACGCCAGGAGCTCACTGGAGGAACCAGGAAGCCATGGCTGCTGTCCCTGGAGAGTCCACTCACCAGGAGAGAGTTGCTCTACCTGCAGCTTCCTTAGTTCCCACTCTCCACCTGTTGTCACTGCCCCCTGATTCCAGGGCTCCGTGCCCTGCTGATATCGCTGTGAGCTGGGGTTCAAACTTTGGGCTTACTTCCTCCAAACCCACACTCTTCTTGTATGCCCTGAAACATGTGCCTAAACATGGAGAGTGATCCTGGAAGAGAAATCCTCAAAGCAAATTTCAGCCATTGCCAGACAGCAAAGATCCTGGGTCTGGGCAAAGGCACTCCAATCTGAGACCTTTCTCCTTCAAGATTTACCCCATCCATTGGGAGGAGCTGGAGTTCCTAAGGTGTGTCCCTGTCTCCAGCTGTCTGCATATATTCTGTCCACTTACCTGCAGCACCTGAGGTTCCACCAGGGCTGGGGCTGTCAGTGACCGAGTCCTCAGGGAGTCCCTGGAGATGGAGGGAGAGGCTGAGCCCTCAATTTCCAGTGAACTACAGGAGCCTTGGAGATGCTGCCGCAAAGCCATGGGCTGCAGGGCCAGAACCACCTCCACAGGAGGCAATGGCCATGTGGACAGGGATTAAAATTGGACCTTAACACTCCCCTCTTTGTCATTGCTCTGTTTTTTATGCCCCAGGACTCTCAGTGCTGCTGTTGTTGCCATTGGGAGCTGCAGCCCTGAATGCTGGAGGTGAGTGCTCAGCCAGCCCCATTTTGACATAAGCTGGGGAGTCCATGCTGGGGTCTGGATCCTGTCACCAACAAGGGAGGGAGTGAAAGACGACTTATTCTGCAACTGAGGCTCCGAGATGGTCCTCGGGGGACAAAAGAAGCTGTTTCTTCCTCCCTAAATGTCCAGAGATTTTGTCTCTTCCTCTTCCAATGGAGGCCATCCCTCCCCTTATCTGCTCTACTCTACTCTTGGATCCCTAGCTGGCAGTGGGCTTCATCCATTTTTGAGCCTTCTGACTATGATCCCCATCCCCACTGCTTCTGCCCCCATAGCCTGTGTTCGATGGTGCCCTCCAAACCCTCCATGTGTCAACGCCAACGCCTGTCGCTGCATTCCAGGACTCAGTTCTGTATCTCCAAATATCATATCCAGCCCCGTGGAGAGTTGTGACGGTACAGTAGGGGCTTGGGGTGGTGGGGGCATGTGGAGACGGTGGGGCATCCAGAGCCTTCAGCCCCAAGAGCAGCACAGAAGCACTGTGTCAGGGATGAGAGAAGAGCCAGGCAGGGGAAGTGTGAGGGACGTGGGCACCTGCTTTCACGGTCAGTAGGGAGAGAGTTGAGAGCTCACACAGGGCAGCTGGGCTCCGAGGGCTCCGAGGGCTCCAAGTGCTGCTCTGCCCCTGACTGGCTCTCCGACATTCGGGAAATTGGTTCTCCTTTCAGTTTGCTTGTGTGTAAACTGAGTATTATCATCCAGTCCCCCCATGGGGATGGTGCAAGACTTAATATTTACCTGTGTGAAGAACAGGGAAAGAGTAGTACACAGCAAAAATGCAAGCCATCATCTTTGTACTGCTGTTATTATGATTTTGTTATTATTATTATTCTCATTGCACAAAGAAAGAGGACAAATAATGGAAGCAACAGGAGGAAAGACACAGCCCGGGCCTGGAAGCTCAGGCTCCTACCAGCCAGAGCTCGCCAGGAACCCAGCTCACGACCATGGTCTCCCACCTCATGCTCACAGCAGCCCCGTGAGGGAGGCAGAGCTCGGCCTGTGGTTTAAATGATCAGATTTGGTGGAAAGAGATCGAGTGACTTTTCCAAATCCTACAACTAATAATGTGGTCGAATGTAAATCCAGGTGTAAAACAAAGGAGTTTTCATTCTTTAAAAATACAGGGTCATAAAAGGAAATTATACTATTTTAAAATTAGTAAGATGGTAAATTTTATGTTGTGCATTTTACCACAATCTTTATAAATAGGAAAAGAAGAAAATTATACTGTTTTTACACTAGGAAATAGTCTCCATGGACTCAAAATGGTCTCAGATGCGTATTTATTGATAATGAAGGTAAAAACATTCCCTATATGTCTGAAAAAATGAGAAAAAATACCCCTAAAAGTTTCGGTAGTCTGTGGAATGGATTATGGATAATTTTCTTTGCTTCCTAGTATACGTGTGTTATTTAGTATTTGGGGGAAAGTAAATTTTGTCAGGTGGAAAAAGCCGACGTTGTTGTGACAACAGCCCAGCCATCCATGACCCTGGCGGTGTTCCTAAAGTCTCCTCTGTGTGTGCGTGTGTGTCTCACGGAGATTTGTAGATGGGTGACCATGGACAGGAGACCCTGCTGCTAATGCCCCTGGATCCCAGCTCCTCTCTGGGAGGGCGCCTGTCAGGTGGAGATGTCCCATCCTCATGTCTCTCCCCATCCCTTGCACCTCATTCTCAACGGTCCCACACTTGGCTTCACACCCTCCCGTCAACCTTGGGAACAGATGTCCAGCCATTGCCGCCATCATAGAACAGAGGAGGGAAGCCCCGTTGCCAGGTGGGGGCTGAACACGAATCCTTCAGGTATGCGTCCCTCTGCGTCCTGTCCTGTCCTGGTGCTGACACCCACAGCCTGGGTCTGGGCCTTAGAAGGGAAGTCTGCAAGTACAGAGAAGAGAGGTCTGATGTGGGGGAGACCAGTCGCCTGCCTGAGTCGTCGTGACGTGTGAGTCCTTTCAGGTTCTAAAGTCTTTGGTCTTGTGATTGGATGCACGAGTGCCAAACTTTCTGTCCCTGGATTTTTTTTTTTTTTTTTTGAGGAAGATTAGCCCTGACCTAACATCCGCTGCCAATCCTCCTCATTTTGCTGAGGAAGACAGGCCCTGCCCATCTTCCTCTACTTTATATGTGGGACGCCTCCCACAGCATGGCTTGCCAAGTGGTGCCGTGTCCACACCCAGGATCCAAACCAGTGAACCCTGGGCTGCCGAAGCAGAATGTGGGAACTTAACCACTGCTCCACAAGGCTGGCTCCTGTCCCTGCATTTTGATCCCTCTTGTGTCCCTGGTTTTTATTAAGTTGTTGTTTTTAGCCAATGGTGTCCAGCACCTCCTCTCTGGGCCCCTGACCTACCCAAAGGGGACCTGGGTCATGGGCATCTTTTCTCTCATGTTCAGAGAACAGAGAGAGACAAGATGCCAGAAAACACCCCCAGTGACTCAGCTGTGGGAACCTTGATGCTGCTTCTTCATTCCACATCTGAGACTGCCTCTAATAAGGGGGGACTTCCCTCAGGGGTGGAGACAGCAAGACTCCCCCGGAGACATCCTGAGGCATCTTGGAAAGGCCTGACCTGGGGAGCTGGGGGAGTGCCTGATGGGGAGTGAGGGTGCACTTCGGCCACTGGGAGTAAATGAGGATGGAAGCCAGCGCTGGGCAGGTGCCTGACCACCTGGCTCTATGCTCAAGTCTGAATGATGACTGTGACCCTCAACAGCCCCTGAGCCATGACTCCTTCCATTGCCCCAGCACCGAGGACAGCCTTCAGTGCCCCTGTTACCCTGTGTGGAGCCCACCCCCAGGTCCCTGATAGTGCTAAGAGCACCACAGAGGAGGGACTGGAGCTGAGTCAGTGCCTCCATCTCTACCCGACATGGCCTGCAGAGGGGATGCAGATCTCCTTCCAGCATGGCACAGCAGTGGGTCTGAATATAGGTGCCCTCAGACCCAGCCAGAGAGCAGAAATGAGTAGAGTGGTCAGCAGGCTTTCTGGAGCAGCTGGCTCTGGACCAGCCCAGCCCCAGGGGTGCCAACCAGGGGTTGTGTTCTGTGCAGCCCCCATGGCAGGGTCAAACCGGAGGCCAGGGTCTCTGTCCTGTGGGAACTCACACCTTTTGGGGGTGATCCTTTGTCCTGTTGTGTTGCAGAAATCAACGAGTGTGAACCACCTTGGACAGTGTCCTGTGGAATATATATAGACTGCCAGGACATAGAGGAGAGCTACTGCCAGTGCATCAGAGGACACGAGATTGATTCTCAGGAAATGTTCACCAATGAGACTAATGAAACGTGTGATGGTAAGAATGACTCCTGCATCTTCCATCTCCTCATCTGTGAGGTTGGGGTCACTTGCCCCACTTTCACCAGGAGAGTGGCTGTCCTGACAACTGCCTGGTGTCCTGTCCCTCCCCAGTCTCCAAAGCTCAGAACCCCACACTGAGTGCCACTTCTGCAATTTTGGAAAGTCCCTCTGCTACCTGGCATCTTATTTTCATAAAACAAAGAGAGGGGTGGCATTCAAGGTGCTTCAGGAGCTCACAGTGCATTGCATTCCAGTGCAATATCCATCCTCTTCTTCTTCATCGGTGACTGCCAGGATAAGACCTTCTCACACTGGAACCCACATGGGCTTGGCCATGCCAGGAACCCTCTTAGACCCTCTGGGCCATGATGGACCCAGGAACCCTGTCCAGAAATATGGAAGGGGGGATATTCGAGGGTGAGCCAACACCCCACAGCAGGCCTTGACCCTGACCAACAACCCCACCCAGAGAAGACACCTCCTGGCACCTGAACTGGCTTCCTGGCCCTTAGCCTCTGTCTACTTCCCTGAGTGAGACTCCACTCTGACCCTGCAGATAATTTCAGTTCACAGGCCTGTGGGCAACTCAGATGACCGGGACCTTGGAGGATGTGGTGTCAGAGGTGGACAGGGTGATGTGAACCACCCCACACACTCAGATTGTCTGGTGAATAGAAAAGGCTCCCATCTGGACCAGATGAAAAGAGAGGGCATCTTTGGGGACCATTGCCCCAGGTCTGACCTTCTCCCAAGGAGGTCAACCCAGACCCCATGTTCACCTAGACCACCTACGGACAGAAGATGGAGGCTGAGCCCCACTCTGCGGGGCCACAGGTCTGTGTCCCTGGTGGGAGGCCAAGGGTCAAGAAGAAATATCTACCACCTCTCCCCCATCAGCACCTGCTTCCCTCTTCAGCCAACCAGCCCTCAACCAAAACTGGCCTTGTTCAGATGTGGTTTGTCACCATCTCCTGCCAGTCCATAGGATGTCTTCGTGGGGATGAGAAAAGATCCTTTCACTGCCCCAAGTCTGTGTGGCCGGACGTCAGCCCCTACTGTTACCCCACCTGGTGTCCACTGTCCAGGTGGCTCTGGACTATCTGGCATTGTATTCGTTCTCTTCACTCCTTCCTGCAAGCTCCCTGAGGGGCCTCACTCAGGAGTGAGTCTTGGTCCAGCTGCATGGAGCTGAGGCCTCAGAGTTAGCATGGATGAGAGACAGCTGTCCTTCCAGGGTCCCTGGGATTCCAAGGAGAACTCAGACAGCAAGCAGCCACCTTGGGGAGTCGGCAAAAGCTATCACTGGCAGCCAAGAAGGGTCTTGCTCAGGGAACTCAGTATTTCCTCTGCAGTCAGTTCCCTGGAAGGCCCAACTGGCCTTTCTTCAAATACTGGGTTGGGGCACCCAGGCAGCTGTGATGTCCCCACCCCAGCTGGGAGCTGCCCAGGGAAGCTGAGGGCACCAGGACTGACAGACAGGGATGACTCAGGCCACTTCCATCCACATCTGGACAACAGAGCATCTAGGCCACCACATTCACCCATAGGATGCCTCCATGTGTGAGACAAGGCACCCACTCACCCAGTGGAAACAGTGGGACCTTCTCAAAGCAGATTTCTGCCATCACCAGAGAACAGAGAAGCTGGGTACAGGCAAAGGCACTCCTATCTGAGGACTTTTGCCTTCAAGATTTACCCCGTCCATTGGAAGAGGTTGGAGTTTCTAAGATGTGTCCCTGTCTCCAGCTGTCGATGTATATTCTGTCCCCTTACCTGTAGCACCTGAGGTTCCATGAGGGCTGTCGCTGTCAGTGACTGATTCCTAGGGTAGTCCTGGGAGATGGAGGCGAAAGGCTGAGCCCTCAATTCTGAGTCAAGTACAGGAGCCTTGGGGATGCTGCTGGAAAGCCATGGGCTGCAGGGCCAGAGCCACCTCCCCGGGAGGCAATGGTTATGTGGCCAAGTGTTGAAATTGGACCTTAACTCTCCTCTTCTTTATCATCTCTCTGCTTTTTCTGCCCCAGCATTGTCCATACTGTTGCACTTGACACGTGGAGCTACAGTCCGCAAACTTATAGGTGAGTCTGCCCAATCACCTTCATTAGTGATGTCAGCTGGGGCGTCCATGCTGGGGTCTGGGATCCTCTCACCAACAAGGGAGGCAAGGGAGGTTTATTCTGCAACTGAGATGGTCCTCTGTGGACAAGAGAAGCTGTTTTTCCTCCCTAAAAGTCCAGAGATTTCTGAGCTCTTCTTCTTCCAGTGTGAGCCATCCCTCTCTCCCCTCCCCTCCTCTACTCATGGACTCCTGGCTGCTTCCTCCATTTCTTAGCCCTTCTGACCATGGTCTCCATCCCCACAGGCTCTACCCCAACCTCCTGTGCCCAGGAGTGCCCTCGGAGATCCGTATGTGCTGATGCCAATGCATGTCGCTGCCTTCCAGGATTCAGTTCTTCCTCTGGGGAGGTCTTCATCAGCCCCTCGGAGAGCTGTGAAGGTAGAGAGGCTTGGGGGTGGTGGGAACACATACAGAGATGGTGGGGGAGCCTGTGCGGCATCCAGAGCCCTCAGCCCAGAGAGCAGCACAGGAGCACTGTGTCAGGGATGAGAGAGGAGACAGGCAGGGGAAGTGTGAGGGACGTGGGCACCTGCTTTCACGGTCAGTAGGGAGAGAGTTGAGAGCTCACACAGGGCAGCTGGGCTCCGAGGGCTCCGAGTGCTGCTCTGCCCCTGACTGGCTCTCCGACATTCGGGAAATTGGTTCTCCTCTCAGTTTGCCTGTCTGTGAGTTGGGGATAATCACTGCATCTGCCCCACATGGATGGTGTGAGATTTAACATTTCTCTGTGGGAAGAACAGGGAAAGACTAGTACACAGCGAATTATCAAAAGTGACAGCTATCATCATTGTTACTGCTGTTATTATTGTCATTATTCAACTAATACAAAGAAACGGGAGAGATAATGGAAGCAACAGGAGGAAAGACACACCCAGGGCCTGGAAGCTCAGGCCCTCCTACCAGCCAGAGCTCGCCAGGAACCCAGCTCACGACCATGGTCTCACACCTCATGCTCACAGCAGCCCCGTGAGGCTGGCAGAGCTAGGATTGTGGGGTTTTTCCAACCTTCATCCATTTCATCCACTTTCCACCCCCTCACGTCTGGCGACAATCAATCTGTTCTCTATATCTACATGTTTGGGGGTTTTTTTAGATTCCATATATAAAGGAGATCAGAGAGTATTTTTGTCTTTTCTGTCTCACATTTTCACTTAGCATACTGCCCTCAAGTTCCATTCAAGTTATCACAAATATCAAGATTTCCTTCTCTTTTTATGGCTGAATAATATTTCACTGTATCCATAAACCACTTTTTCATTATCCACTCCTCCATCAATGGACACTTATGTTGTTTCCATATCTTGGCTATAGTGGGTTTTTTTTAATTTAAGGGCATTTAGTACGCTTTATTCAATCTTTTACCCCACATGGTGCCTGGGAGATTAAAAATAACCGGAAAGAATTTTTTTCCAAAACGTTGTGATTTATTAATATATCTCTTAGTCTTTTTTCTTTGTTTGTTTACAGTTTTATTTATTTGATTTTTTATTGTGGTAACATTGGTTTATAACATTATATAAATTTCAGGTGTACATCGTTATATATTTTGATTTCTGTGTCAGTTGCGTCATGTTCACCACCCAAAGACTAATTACAATCCGTCAGCACACACGTGTGCCTAATCACCCCTTTTGCCCTCCTCCCTCCCCTTTTACCGCCTGGTAACCACCAATCCAATCTCCGTTTCTATGTGTGTGTTTGTCATTGTTTTTATCTTCTACTTATGAATGAGATCATACGGTATTTGACTTTCTCCCTCTGACTTATTCCACTTAGCATAATATACTCAAGGTCCATTAATATTGTCACAAGTGGCCGGATTTCATCATTTCTTATGGCTGAGTAGTATTCCATTGTGTGTATATACCACATCTTCCTTATCCATTCGTCCCTTGATGGGCACCTAGGTTGCTTCCAAGACGTGGCTATTGTGAAGAATACTGCAATGAACATAGGGGTGCATGTATCTTTTCAAGTTACTGTTTTGGTTTTCTCCTGTTAAATACCTATAAGTAGCATTGCTGGATCATATGGTAGTTTATTTTTAATTTTTTGAGGAATTTCAATTCTATTTTCCATAATGGCTGCATCAATTTACATTCCCACCAACAGTGTATGAGGGTCCCCTTCTGTCCACATCCTTGGCAACACTTTTTATTTCTTGTCTTTTTCATAGTAGCCATTCAGACAGATGTGAGGTAATATCTTATTGTGGTTTTGATTTGCATTTCCCTGGTGATTAGAGATGTTGAGCATCTTTTCATGTACTTGTTGGCCATCTGTAAGTCTTCTTTAGAAAATATCTATTCAGATCCTCCGCACATTTTTATATTAGATTGTTCGGTTTTTCTATTGAGTTGAATGAGTTCCTTATATATTTTGGATGTTAACTGCTCATCAGGCATGATTTGCAAATATTTTCTGCCAAACTGTATGTTGCCTTCATACTGTTGGTGATTTCCTTGACTGTGCAGAAGATTTGTGGCTTGATTAGTCCCACTTTATTTTCGCTTTTATTGCCTTTGCTTTTGGAGTCAAATCCAAAAAATCAGAACCAACACTTATCCTATCAAGGAACTTACCACCTATGTTTTCTTCTAGGGGTTTTATGGGTTCAGAGAAGCATCATTTTTAAGTGACCATGATCGGGCTCAACGAGATTCATCAAAAGTCACACGATTAATAAAGTGGAGGAACCTAGGTCTAGGCCTAAAGTGGAGAGCTTCCACCCTCAGTAATGGACCAGAAAGGGAATAACACTGAGAAACGGTTAAGATGGAAATGTTTATGTTATATGCATTTTACCACATGAAAAAAAGTGGAAAAGAGGGAAATTATATGGTTGTTTCAATAAGACATACACTTCATCTACTCAAAGCAGTCCTAGATGCATATTTATTGAAAGTAAAGGAAAATATCCCTAATATGTTTGAAAAGATTTTAAAAATTGCTAAAATTTCCAATAGTCTGTATAGTGAGCTAATGTGTAATTTTCTTTGTTTTCATTTTTTACATTTTCTTTATTTTCTAAGTATATGTTATTTATTGTTTGGGGAAAAGTAGATTTTATCAGGGATAAAAAGGTTGTGACAACGGCCCAGCCATCCATGACCCTGGCAGTGTTCCTAAAGTCTCCTCTGTGTGTGCGTGTGTGTCTCACGGAGATTTGTAGATGGGTGACCATGGACAGGAGACCCTGCTGCTAATGCCCCTGGATCCCAGCTCCTCTCTGGGAGGGCGCCTGTCAGGTGGAGATGTCCCATCCTCATGTCTCCCCCCATCCCTTGCACCTCATTCTCAGTGGTCCCACACTTGGCTTCACACCCTCCCGTCAACCTTGAGAACAGATGTCCAGCCATTGCCGCCATCATAGAACAGAGGAGGGAAGCCCCGTTGCCAGGTGGGGGCTGAACACGAATCCTTCAGGTGTGCGTCCCTCCTGCGTCCTGTCCTGTCCTGGTGCTGACACCCACAGCCTGGGTCTGGGCCTTAGAAGAGAAGTCTGCAGGTGCAGAGAAGAGAGGTCTGATGTGGGGGAGACCAGTCGCCTACTGATTTGTCATGATGCTGTGAGTCCTTTCAGGCACTGAAGTCGCTGGTCCCCTGTTTGTAATGTGCAAGGGTCAAACATTCTGTCCCTGCATTTTGATTCACTTCTGTGTTGATGGTTCTTATTAAGCTGATCTTGTTTTTAGTTAATTGTGTCCAGCCCCTGCTCTGTGGGTCCTGAGCTACTCAAAGGGGATCTGGGTTATGGGCATCTTTTCTCTCATTTTCAGAGAACAGAAAGAGAAAAAGATGCAAAAAAACACCCCCAGTGACTCAGCTGTGAGACCCTTCATGCTGCTTCTTCATTTCACACCCCCAACTGACGCAAATAAGGGGGGACTTCCCTCAGGGGTGGAGACAGCAAGACTCCCATGGAGACATCCTGGGGCATCTTGAAAAGGCCTGACATTGGGAGCTGGGGGAGTGCCTGATGGGGAGTGAGGGTGCACTTGGGCCACTGGGAGTAGAGGTAGGGTGGAAGCCAGCACTGGGCAGGCCCCTGACCACCTGGCTCTATGCTCAGTTGTGAATGAGGCCACCTGGGCGTCAGTTCTTTCCATCCCCCATGACTGGGTCAGGCTGGAGGCCAGGGTCTCTGCTCTATGGGAACTCACACCTTTTGGAGGTGACCCTTTGTCTTGTTGTGTTCCAGACGTCAATAAGTGTGAAACCCCGTCAACAGTGTCCTGTGGAAAATTTGCAGATTGCCACAACACAGAGGGCAGCTACTACTGCACATGCAGCCCAGGATACCAGCTTGTTTCTGGGGCAACGTTATTCTGGAATGAGAAAGAGAACACGTGTCACGGTGAGAACCACTCCTTGTTTTCCATCTCCTCTTCCATGAGGTTTGGCGTCATTCAGCCCACTTTCTCCAGGCATCAGAGGGCCGTCCTGGCCACCTATCTGATCACCGTCCCTCTCTGAACCCCAAGGCTCAGAGCCCTCCACAGAGGGTCACTTCTGGAACTTTAAAATATCCCCTTGCCCACCTGGCATCTTATTTTTGTAAAACAAAAGAAAGGGGTGGCATTCTTCAGGATACTTCAAGATACTTCAGGAGCTCACAGTGCCTCGTGTTTCAGCACAATATCCCATCTCTTCGTTATCATCAGTGACTGCCAGGATGAGACCTTCCCCCACCGGGGCCCACATGGGCTTGGCCATGCAGGAACACACTCAGGCCTCCAAGCCCATGATGGACACAGGTGACCTGCCCAGAAACCCAGGAGTAGGGAGATTCCAGGGCAGGTCCACCTACCCCAGCCAGCCCTGTCCCTGGCCAACAGCCCTGGCACCCTGACCCCAATTCTCATCTGCTCAGCCTCCATCTAAATCCCCACATAAGGCTCTCCCTGACCCTCTCCAGTGATTTCAACTGACAAGCCTGAGGCCAGTGGAGACGACCAGGACCCAGGAGAATGCTGTGCCGGGTCTGAGCAGGATGACATGGACCGCCCCCAACACACACGCGCATGGGCACAGTCAGATCAATGGAGAAGGCGCCCTTCAGGACCAGATAGCAACCGAGGGCATCATCAGGAACCACTGCCCCAGACCCAACCCTCTCCCAAAGAAGTCGACCCAGGCTCCAAGGAGGCCCAGAACACTGGGGGACAGAAGACGGGCCGCTACTCAGCGGGGTCCAGAGGTATGTGTCCCTGGTGGGAGGCCAAGAGGCCCAATGGCTGAAATGAGTGACAGCCCTCAACCACCAGCACCTACTCCCTTGTCCAGCCAGCCCTCACCCACTGCCCTGTTCAGATGTGGATTCTCACCACTTCCTGCCGGTCCAGGGGAGGCCTTCGTGGGGATGAGTTAAAAAGCACCCAGGGCTGCATGGCTGGACGTCAGCCCCCACTGTCCACCCAGACCTGGTGCCACTGTCTGGGTGGACCCAGCCTGTCCAGTATCTTCTTTATTCCCCCTGACCCAGCCCTATGGCCTCACCCTAGGGATCCTGTGTGAGGGGCAGTTCTTGGCCCATCTCTATGAAGCTGTCTCAGAGTTAGTGTGGATGGGAGAGCACTGCCCTGACAGGGTCAACAGTGTTCCAAGGAGAACTCAGCCAGCAGAAGCCGCCCTGGGGGAATTAGGACCAAGGCCATCACTGGGAGCCAAGACAGGGCCTGGTGGGGAAATGCAGCATCTCCCCTGCACTCTGTTCCCAAGGAGGCCCACCCTGGCCTTTCTCCAAATGTTAAGGGGGGACACAGGCAGCCATGATGTCCCCACCCCAGCTGGGAGCTGCCCAGGGAAGCTGAGGGCACCAGGGCTGGCAGACAGGGAGGCCTCAGGCAGATTCCATCCACATGTGGACAACAGAGCACCTAGGCCACCCCATCCACCCATAGGATGCCTCTATGTAAGAGAAAAGCTGCCCATGCACCAGGAAGGAGACAGTGGGGCCTTCCAGAGCCTTCTCTGCCCAAACTGGGATCCCTAAATAACCAAATGACCAGGTACCTGGCCGACCTGACCTCAGACTCCTGCCCTCCACACACACATACACACACACACACACACACACACACACACACACACACACGGAGATGCTCTCACACCTAATGAAGCGCTCTTCTGCCCCCTGCAGGAACCTTCCCCGCCTGGGCTCCACCCCGTAGAATCAAGAGCCAGGTGAGTGCCCCCAACAGGGAACGAAAGGCAGGAATCCCTCCGCACAGCCCGCCATTTTCCCCGAGCTCCCCCGCCCTCCCTCGAGGCTTCCTGACCCCTTATTCTCCCCTCCCCCCAGCGTCTCTCCCGCTTCTTTGAAGGAGTCCAGAAACTGCGCGTAGGCTTCCAGTCAGCCTCGAGCCAGGACACCGTCCAGGTAGGAGCAGGACACAGAGGAGGCAAGGTGGAGGCACCCCTTCCCCATAGAGGCCTGGTAAAGCTTTGGTCTGGGAGGAGCCAGACCCAACAGGACGGCGCCCTGCTCTGAGGCCCCGGTCCTCCTGGGTGGGTGGCGACTGCCCCCAGCATGTGTCTGTACTCACTGTGAGACACCCACGTGCAGCTAGTGACACCTTCCCTCTTGCCTCCCTGAACTTTGGATTCATGTCACCCTTGGCATTCACCAACAGGATGACCTCTGAGTGGCTGGATTCCAGGAAAAAAGACCCAAGGAATCCCAGCCAACATGACTTTTATCCTCAAATAAACAGTTACCAGGGTCTGCTTTCTGTGGCTGAGTGAGCAGGGTCTTCATGCAGACCCTCTGCTCTGTGTCCCCATCCTCCAGGGTCTCATGCATGAAGTGGATGATCTGCTGGAGACCCCAGGGGACCTGGAGACCCTGCCCCGCTCAGAGCAGCACTGTGTGGCCGCTAACATGCTCTTTGGCCTGGAGGATGTCCTGAGAGGGCTGAGCCAGGCCCTGTCCAATGGGTCATTGACCTTCCATGCACCTGCAGGCACAGGCAAGTACCCGAGTCTGCCCCAGGCTCCTGCATGACCATTTCCCACCTCATTTCGCCCAGGCCTCACTGGAGCTGGGTGACCGTGCTTGCATCTCAGTGTTACTCTCATTAACAAATTAAAATAAAAGGTTAAAAGGAAATGAATAAATTATATAAGTGAAATAAGTCCGATTGGTATTTGCCACAGTTGACAGGGTGGGTGAAATGGATGAAAGGGGTCAAATGTTTCAAACTTCCAGTTATAAAATAAATAAGCCACGGGCGTATGATGTGCAGCATGGTGACTGTAGTTAATAATACTGTATTGCATATTTGAAAGTTCCTATGAGAGTAAATCTCAAAAGTTCTTATCACAAATTTCAAAACTTTTGTAACCTGCATAGTGTCATATGTGAGCTAGGCTTATTGCAGGGATCCTTTTGCAATATAGACAAATTGTTATGTTGTACACTTGAAATTAATATATCAATTATACCTCAATAAAGAAAGAAAAGAATACCACTGTAAATAATATACATTTTCATTGTGAACTAAATTATGAGCAGATGAAATAATAACAAAGAATTTAAGATAAAATAGAAATGGCTTCAAAAGAAAACAATTTATTTAGTTTAGAAGAATGTGAATTTAACATTATTTGATATTCAAGTATGATTTATTTTATTGAGGTAAAATTCACCTAACATAAAATTCACCATGTTAACCAAAGTGTACAATTGAGTGACATTTAATGCATTCACAGAGTTGTGATCATGACTTCTATTTCTGAAGTATCTTCATCACCCCAGAAGTAAACATTGCAACCTCTAAGCAGTCGCTCCTCATTCATGCCTCCCCCAGCCACTAGCAACCATGAATCTGTTTTCTGTCTCCATGGATTTGCCAATTCTGCACATTTCATATAAATATAATTATATGGCATGTGACCTTTTAGGCTAGCTTCTTTCGCCCAGCATGATGTGTTCCAGGTTCATCTATATTTTAATGTGCATCAGTATTTATTTCCTTTTTATGGCTGATTAATACTCCATTGTATATATGGGTATACCACCTTATGTTAGTCCATTCATCCATTGACCGACATTTGGGTTGTTGCCACCTTTGGACTATTGTGAATAGTGCCGCTATTAATATTGGTGTACAAGTTTTTGTGTGAATAACTTTTCAGTTCTTTGGGGTACATACTTAAGAGTGGAGTTTCTGACTAGTATAGTAGTTCCATCTTCAACTTTTTGAGGAGCCACCAAACAATTTTTCCAAAGTTCTACTTTTCTACTTTCCATTTCCACCAACAATGTCACAAGGGTTCCAGTCTCCTCATCCTCAGCAACATTTGTTACTTCCATTTTATTTCATTTTTAGTATAGTCAGCTAATATCTCCTATGGTTTTGATTTGCATTTCCCTGATGACTAACAATGTTTAACATCTTTTCATGTCATCATTGAACATTTCTGTGTCTTTTTTGGAGACATGTCTATTCAAGACCTTTCCCTATTTTTTAATTCAGTTGTTTGGTTTTGGTTGTTGAGTTGTAAGAGTTCTTTATATATTCTGATAGTAGACCCTATGAGACGTGTGATTTCAAATATTTCCTCCCATTCCACAGATTATCTTTTCACTGTCTTTATGATCTTTTCACTTCAATGAACAGCTGGTTCCATTTTGATGAAGTCCGTTTTATCTGTTTTTTCTCTTGTTGCTTGTGCATTTGGTGTCCTATCTAAGAGTCCATTCCAAATCCAAGGTCATGGAGATTTACCTCTATGTTTTCTCCTAGTTGTTCGAGTTTCAGCTCCTAAATTTAGATCTATGACCCATTTTGAGTTAATTTATGTGTATTGTGTGAGGTAGGTGTCCAACATCCTTCTTTTGCTTCTGGATATCCAGATGAACCAGCACCATTTGTTGAAGAGGCTATTCAATGGGAAACCATTGAACAATGTTGGCATTCCTTGTTGAAAATCAATTGACATAGATGTATGGGTTCATTTCTGGACTCTCAGTTCTATTTCACTGGTTTATCTGTCTATCCTTGTGCCAGTACCATGGTGTTTTGATTACTGTAGGTTGGTATTAAGTTTCGAAATCAGGAAGTGTGAGTCCTCCAAATTCGCTTTCCATTTTCAAGATTGTTTTGGGCATTTGGGCCTCTTGCAATGCCATATGAATTGTAGGATGAGCTTTTACATTTCTTCAAAAATAAATTAATAAAATGATGGTGGAATTTTGATATGGATTGCATTGAATCTGTAGGTCATTTTGGAGAATATTGCCATCTGAATAATATTGATCATTCCAATCCACAAACAAAGGATGTCTTCCCATTTATTCAGCATTTCCAGTTCATTTCAACAATCTTTTGTAGTCTTCTGTGTACGTATCCTAAGCCTCCTTGGATAAAATTATTCCTAATATTTTGTTGAATATTTTTGCATCTATGTTCATAAGAGATGCTGGTCTGTGGTTTGTTTGTTGTGATGTCTTTCTGTGGGTTTGTTTTTAGGATCATGGTGGCCTCGTAGGGTTATTTAGGTAGAGTTCCTTCCTCTCCTATTTTATGGAGGAGTTTACAAAGGATTCCTGTTAATTCTTCCTTGAATGGTTGATAGAATTCACCAGTGAAGCCATCTGGTCTGAGCTTTTCATTTTGGGAATTTTTTGATTACTGATTAAATCTCTTTACCCCTTATATGGCTGTTCAGACTTTTTGTCTCTTCTTCAGTCAGTTTTGTAGTTTATGTGTCTCTAGGAATTTGTCCATTTCATCTATGTTATCTAATTTGTTGTTGAATAATTACTCACAGTTTCTGTTATCATCCTTTGTAAATTCAGACGATATCCATATATATATTCCATTATGATTTATACCAAATATTGTACACAACATTATACAATATATAAAATAATGGTTTTTCTCTGTACAAATAACAATAGTATTACATATAGTATTGTTATATATAAATAGATATGTATGTGTAAATATCTATAAATAAAACAATGGTATTGTATCAACCACTTAGTCACAATTACTAATCTAAGTCCCTGTGTGCCTCGCACAACTCTTAGAGCTGACCCTGGAGGTGCTGGAGCAGGGAGACAGAAGTATCTCCTTGAGCCAGAATCGGGCAAAGATGCTGCTGAAGTGGGAGACTGCTGGGATCTGCTGACTCAGGTAAAGGCTGAGATGAGGAGAAGGCCACTGAAGCTTCCCAGTGGGCCAAGTGTCCAGGGATGGGACAGATAGAGGATTAAATGTTAAAGGGAAGTGTGGGGTATGGAGAGGCCACAAGGAGAGAGTCCATCTGAAGAAGGAGGGGTCCTGTTGGGGACACCAAGATGTCAACCTTGCCCTTGTCCTGCAGGCCCTTCTGTGGTGGGCTTTGTCTCCATCCCGGGCATGGGAAAGCTGCTGGCTGAGGCGCCCCTGGTCCTGGACCCTGAAAGGCAGGAAGTTGTACGGGAGACACACAAGAACTTGCTGCAGGAAGTCACCCATGTCCTGCTCTCAGATGTCGTCACCACCTTCTTCAGCAGCAATGACACTCAGAACCTCAGCTTCTCAGTCACCTTCATCTTTAACCATGTGAGTCCAGGTGGGAGGGGGCTGTGGGTGTGAAAGAGGCCTGAGTCCTGGGTGCAGCCTTAGGGTTCAGGTGGGTCCCCATAGGTGCATTATTTACCCAGGAAGGCCCTTCATGAGCCAAGTTTGGGTCAGCATTTCTGAGCATCACAACCAGCAGCTCACACTCACTCCCTGATCTTGCAGTCAGTGACCCCTCAGCCAAGGAAGAAGGTGCTCTGCGTCTTCTGGGAGCACAGCAGGAATGAAAGTGGTCATTGGGCCACCACAGGCTGCACGATGGTGGGCACCAGAGACACCAGCACCACCTGCCAGTGCACCCACCTCAGCAGCTTTGCCGTCCTCATGGCCCACTACAACGTGCAGGTGAGGACCCTGAGAGGGGCTGTGTTCAATGTCTGTGGCACTGTAACCAATTCCCACACATGCAGTAGCTTAAAAGCCCACAGGTTTGTTATCTCCCAGTCTCTTCAGGTCAGTAGTCCTGCATGGTGCAGCTGTGCTGTCTGTCAGCATCTTACAAGCCTCAAATCATTGTATCAGCCACAGCTGCAATCTCATCTGAAGTTTTGGGTCCTCCTCTAAGCCCCGTGGTTCTTCGCAGAATTCAGTTCCTTGCAGTTGTAGGACTGACATCGCACTTTCTTGCTACCTGGCAGCAGGGGACCATGCTCAGCTCCTGAAGGCTACCTGCATCCCTTCTCATGTGGTCCTCTCATAGGCTCTCTCACAAGGTGTCAGTGGTCCTATCTCGAGGCCAGCAGCTGAAGCTCCCTCACATCAAAGCTCTCTCAAACTTTGAGTGTTTTTCCCCAGAAGCCCAGATCTTTCAGGGGCTCACCTGCTTAGACCAGGCCCACCCAGGATAAACTCCTTCTTTTCAAGTCAGTTGATGTAGGACCTGAACTGGGCCCTCCATGTGCCATATGCCTTCACAGCAGCACTGGACTGGCTTTTGACTGGAAACCTGAAAGAAGGGGTGTGTCCACGCGGGGGCAGGGATATGGTCGCCAAATTAGACCTCTGCTCACCTCAGGGGTCTCTGGTGCAGGAGTGCTCAGGGGCTGCAGAAAAGACGATTTGGCAGAGGGCACCAGGGAAGCCGGTGAGAACAGGTGGGTCGGGGCCGTGTTGGCCTCCCCCCCTGTGCAGGTGAGCTGGTGAGTTCCTCTAGGTCACCAAAACCAGAGACTCACTCAGGTGACCTCTAAAGGAAAATAAGCCCTTGTGAGAGGCAGGGCTTCGTCCAGACTCTGAACCTATCAGTTCACAATCACATAGTGTCCTAACATTCTGAACGTTTAGGTACTTAGCCACAAACATCACAAATTTACCTGGCCTCTCCATTCCTAAATTCTTCTATGCCTAAAAAGAAAAATAAAAATGGTGGAAGGGCCATTTCTCCAGAGCAGGAAGGAGTGACTGTGCTCTCCTCTTTGCTGGGTCCCAGAAGGAGGATCCCGTGCTGGATGTGATCACCTACGTGGAGCTGAGCCTCTCTCTGCTGTGCCTCCTCCTGGCAGCCCTCACCTTCCTGCTGTGCAGAGCCATCCAGAACACCAGCACCTCCCTCCACCTGCAGCTCTCGCTCTGCCTCTTCCTGGCCCACCTCCTCTTCCTCACGGCCATCGACCGAACGGAGATCAAGGTACTGACCCAGTCCCAGTGGACCCTCTGGCCTGCCCCAGGGGGTGCTGGGTCCATGAGAGCCATGCTGCCCTGGATGCCTTAATGAAATGATCTTGGGTCCTGGGGAAGGTTAGGGGGTGAGTGACCAATGTCACATTGACTGATGCAACTAGACGACAAACCCTCTCTGACCGCTCCTTCATACGCATCAGACTTCTCCCCAATGGCAAGGCACGGGAGAGGTCCTGGGGCCACACTCCACGCTGACAGTCCCTCCTGGTGAGGCCTCACTCCTCCCCCAGGTGCTGTGCGCACTCATCGCGGGCGCCTTACACTATCTCTACCTGGCCTCCTTCACCTGGATGCTGCTGGAGGGCCTGCACCTCTTCCTCACTGCACGAAACCTGACGGTGGTCAACTACTCCAGTGTGAGCAGGTTCATGAAGTGGCTCATGTTCCCTGTGGGCTACGGCGTCCCGGCCGTGATCGTGGCCATTTCTGCAGCATCCAGGCCTCATCTCTATGGAACATCAACCCGGTAAATGCACTTTCCCGTTTGTCCTTATCTTCTCCAGCACAACCATGGCCATCATAGAACCAACACAACACTTTAATTTCACCAGAATATGATAGGCAGATAAAAACTCAGTAACCACTCCAAAGACACCTTCCTGGTTTCATGATTGCCTTCATTGAAGTGACTGTTTTAATTCCTTAAGATTTAATCCTTTTAAATGCTAATTATATTATGTTAATAATTCTATATTTATGTAATAATTATGTTTTATATTAACTATACACTAATATAATATTGATGATATGTTAATAATTACAAATTAATATAGTTAAAATATATGATGTGACTCATTTTGATGTTTTAGATTTTATTACATTAAATATTAATTTTATGTTATATTAATGACTATATTGTACTAATGCCTATGATACATAATATCAATTGCATCTTATATATTAGTGTATGTATATTAATATAATACTCATTGCATTAGTTTTGGAGACTGTTTTAAATCTTCTAGAAAGCAAAATTAAAGTGAAGGGATGGCATTGGTTTGTGTAATCCACTTCTCTCTCCTAATTAAAAAAAGGGAGTTAATTTAGACACTGAAATCATTATGACCAGAGCTAAGATTTGTAAATCACTTCTGTAGAGCAGTCTTTGATCTAAATATTTTTCATGTATCTCAGATCAAATCATCCTCCCCACAACCTTCTGAGGTAGAAACAAGTGATATGCCAGTATTACAGATGACAAAACTGAGGCACAAAGAGATTAACTAACACGGCCGAGATCTCAGAGCTGGCTGGTGGCAGAAGTGGGATCAAATCCAGTCTCACTCACAACACAGTCCTACACTGATAAAATTAATGTTCATCTGCATCGGATGAGCCCCGGCCAGCCAGCTTTCCTAGATAACTTAGGATAAAAGCGAACTCCATCTGTAAAGGACCAGACAATAAATACTTTTGGCTTATGGGCCATCCCATCCCTGTTGCAACTACTCACCTCTGTCCTTATAGCACGAAAGCAGCCACAGACGATACATAAGGGAACAAGTGTGACTGTGTCCCAGGAAAGCACATTCACAAGATCAGTTGGCAGCCCACCTGGCACAGGCTGCAGTTTCCTACCCCATCCTTAGTAGCTTTCTCTTCCCTTCTCCCTGGTGGTGCCATCTCTCCATGCTCCTGCCACCTCCCATCTCATTCACAATTCCCCTCACTTGGGATCAAATTCCAATCCTGTCACTTGCATAAGTGTGGCCTTGAGTGACTGCCTCTGTTTCCTTAAGCCTCAGATGCCTGACCCGTGATGGTTTGAGTACCTGTGTGTGTGTGAGGAATAAAGGCATTCTGCACATGAGCCCTGCCTTAGTGCTGTGTCAGGCTTACTGTTACTTTTTCTTTTTTTTTGCTCTCGTCTTTGGTGTCCCCAATTTTTTCACCTTGTCTCTACCTACTCAGCTTTCTTATCTCAGTGTACAATTCATTTCTCTCAGGGAACCCTTCACAACTATGTGAATCTGACACACCCCAGCCCAGGTGAAGATTCCAGCTACACGTGCTCATACTCTTCATACCATGATCATAAAACTCGTCATCTTGTTTGTTTTTCCTGCCTGACTGTTGACCTTCCACCTGGCTGGACCTCCCAGAGGACTGAGACCAGTCTATCTTAGTCACGACTGGGGCTTCAGAGTCATGCACAGATCCTGGTAGAAAGGAGACACTCAATATTTGTCAACTAAACCATAAATTAATTGATTGGTTGATATTTTTACTTTTAAAAGTTTGTATTTTTTTCTGCCAGCATTTCTGGGAACCAAGACTTAAAAGAAGTTTTTAAAAGGAATTTATTTTTTTAAAAACCACTTTGTTAAGGTATGATAGACATGTAAATAGATGTACGTATTTGACGTATAGCTCCTGATGAGTTTGGGGATATGCATACACCTGTGAAACCATCACCACCATCAAAAGTATATACAAAATTCAGTTATGTAAGATAAAAAGATCAGGAGACCTACTAAGGAGCACATGCTTATAGCTAATAATATTGTGTTAGACACTTAAAATTTACTAAGAGGGTATATCTTACATTAAACGTTTTTACCAAAGAAAAGCAATAATAATAATATTAATTAAAAAAACAGAGAAAGACGAACACTGCATGATTTCACTCATATGTGGAAGATAACAAATACATGGATAAAGAGAACAGATTAGTGGTTACCAGTGGGGAAGGGGGCTGGAGCTTGGGAGAAAGGGTAAAGGGGCGCATATGTGTGGTGATGGATAAACGGTAGACTACTGGTGGTGAGCATGATGCAGTGTATCCAGAAATTGATCAGTAATAACGTACACCCGAAATTACATAATGTTATCAACCATAATGATCTCAATAAAATTACTTGAAATAATAATAATGATAATAATAAAGGAGGCAAGAGGGCTTGCCCCGTGGCATAGTGGTTGAGTTCAGCATGCTCCACTTCAGTGGCCCAAGTTTGCAGGTTCAGATACTGGGCATGGACCCACACCACTCGTCAGCCATGCTGTAGCAGTGACTCACATAGAAAAGAGAGGAAGATGAGCATAGATGTTAGCTCAAGGACAGTCTTCCTCAGGAAAAATAATAATAATTATAATAATGAAGCAGGAAGAAACTTTGGGAGGTGAGGGATATGTTTATTTACCAATTCTTTATCCACAAAGACCAATATATTGTGTTTTTTTTCCTGAGGAAGATTTGCCCTGAGCTAACATCTGTCACCAATCTTCCCCTTTTTGCTTGAAGGATATTGGCTCTGAGCTAAATCTGTGCCAATCTTCCTCTATTTTATATGTCGTTGCCACCATAGCATCGCTGATGAGTGTGTAGGTCCGCACCCAGGAACTGAACCCAAGCAGCTGGAGCGGAGGGCACCAAATTTAACCACCAGAACAGCAAGCTGCTCCCATCACAAAGACCAATATATTCTTGAATCTCTTTCTTAGATGCTGGCTCAACACAGACAAAGGGTTTATATGGGCCTTCCTTGGCCCCGTCTGCACCATCTTCTCTGTGAGTAATGGATGACATCAGAGCCTCCTACCTGCCCAGCTGAGGGTCATTCAAAGTCAGGTGTATAAGGAGGGTTACAGGCAGGGTGAGCAGTCATTCCAGTTTGCCCAGGAGTGAAGGGGCTCCCATGAGATAGGAATTTCAGTTTTAAAACTAGGACTGAAGTGTTTCCTGAGACATGAGATTTCAGGGCTAAAACTAGAAATTCCCCTGCAAACTTGGGTGAGTCGGTCACCCAAGTTACAGGACAATGATGTGCCTGCGTTACTGGGCGTTGGGTCTGGTTTTCTAGGACTGCTGTGAAATACAAATGCCCTTGCTGCTGGGTTAGGTGTTGGATGAGCTAGGAGGAAGGCTGAGCAGATGTGGAATGCATTTACTATGCCTTGTGGGGATATTCATCTGCAGATCAACTTGGCTTTCTTTCTGATGACCTTCTGGATTGTGAAAAACAAGCTCTCCTCACTCAGCAGCGACGTGTCCACCCTGAAGAACACAAGGTGAGGGTGCAGCAGAGGGTGCGCACCATCCCCCATACAAAGCATGGTCCAGGGGCAAGGCCATATGGTCCCAAGCTCCCCATGTCCTTCACCCAGATTCTGAGGGGACTGGAAGAGAGAGGTGCTCCCACCCTCCTTGGAAGCCAGCTCAGATACTGTACTTTGCTGCTGACACGCAAGCCAAAAGCCTTCTGTCCATCCGTAACCCCAGCATGAAGCACCTAAGCTACATAGAGAACTGACTTTGTTCTGATAAACGGGGATTACTTTCCTGGCTCCATGAAAAAGGGCCTAGAACATCCACATCTTTATAACACGCTTAGGAAATCACACAGCTGTTCCCAGAGCCCAGCACACCCTTTCGTGCCCACACCTCCATGAGTGCTCTTCCTGAAGCCCTCTCCCACTCTCCCACCAGCTGAAAGCAGGTTCATTTGCCGCTTATTACATCTTCTAAGGGTTTGGGGATGTCCTTTGCTTTCCTCAACTTTGCACAGAATCGATGGCCTCTATTCTGAGCAAAGGAGGCTCTGGGTCAGTTCATGGAGAAGGTGAGGATGGGAACAGTGCTGGATGGTCCTGGGCAGAAGTACCTTGCACTTCACAAATTTATAAATGACCATTTGTTTTTGTCCTTCCACTAGACTGTAAGGTCTGTGAAAACAGAAATCTTGTCTTTGTTGTTGTTAATGCCCAGGCCCACGCCTAGAGCCGGGTGCACAGAGTGACCTCAGCACTGTAGGTTGAGTGAAATTAGGGATCTTCAGGAAACATCATGATAGTTTTGAAATCCACATTATGCGGTGTCACTACCATCTTGAGTCTAAATGAAAATGCCATCCTGGACAAAGATAGCATTTCTTTTTGGGGAATCATGGCCAGTAAGAGCTAGGTTGATCACAACTCAGTCAGAGGCATCCATGGAGTAGAGATGAAAATGGCCTTGGTTTTGTTGCTCTCTGTGCATCACAAGCCTCCTTTCTCCTGCTCCCCAGAATGCTGACTTTTAAAGCTACAGCTCAGCTCTTCATCTTGGGATGCACGTGGTGTCTGGGAATCCTGCAGGTGGGGCCAGCTGCCCATGTCATGGCCTACCTCTTCACCATCATCAACAGCCTGCAGGGTGTCTTCATCTTCCTGGTGTACTGCCTCCTCAGCCAGCAGGTACCACTGTCTGACGCCCACTCAGGATTCTGCCCATCCTCACTCCTCTCAGTCAGCTGACGCAGAGTCTGCTTTGCCTCTGCAGGTCCAGCAGCAATACAGGAGATGGTTCAAAGGGGTCACAAAAACCAAAGCCGAGTCTGAGAAGTACACGCTCTCCAGCAGGGCCATGCCTGATGCCTCCAAACACAGTGTGGTAAGGGCATGCATAGCTCCCAGAGCACTTCACTAACAGATCTGCTTGAGCAGCACATGCCTACCACACTGGGCAACCTGGGTATATAGGAGGTGATGCCCTAGCATGGCTCACACATGGTTTGCTCCTGGACTCACTCAAGGCACTCCCCTGTCATGAAAGGAGCTCTTCTTCTACTTTCACTCACTGTGTTTCTATGCTCGCCTTGACCCTTGTACGTGGCTATCTTATTCTCCAAACGTGTGGAAATGCCCACTTTGTGAGAGATGGTGCATGTGCTTTTTAATTTTCCTTGGGAAGAAGATAGAAAACACTTACTCACAAGCAGAGAAAGATGCTATAGTATGCTCTATGAGCAGGAACTAATGATCTGAGGCAGTGATGCACGAGCTACTGAGAGTCACAGCACCATTCTTTCTCTCAAGTCATTCCAGGCCCCCCCTATATCTGAAGGACAATAAACACATGGTATATATGGTCATAAAAGGAAAGTGAAATCAGCATTAAGTTGGATCTGAGACTGTCCTTAGAAGTCTGCAAATCGTTCCTGGTATTTTCAACACACACATACAATGCAAAACCAGGGAGGACAATCACAGAATGCATAAGAGAGATTCTAGCAAGGTGAATGGTTCCAAGAATTGTATTTTCAGGTTTACCAACCATTTTCTTGTATTTTTTATTCATGTGTTCTTCCCATTAGCACTTGGAAGTAAGTGTTACTCCCACTTGGTAGGTGAAGAGAGTGAGACTCATGGGGTCTGGGTGTGTCGTGCAGGGACTTAAGCTGCTTCGTTCTTCCTCCCAACTTCCACGAGCCCCCCACCTGGCAAGGCCTCTGCATTTCTCTCCTCCGCCTGCTGGTCCACCCTCTGCAACTGCCCCTTCTCAAATACTCCACTCCTCAAAGGTCTCATCCTTCTAACTCTTCCCTCTTCCCAGCACATGTTCCTACCAACTTCTTCACAGGGAAAATCAACTCAGTGGATGAAACAGGGTTAACCTTGTGCTCTCAAAAACGCCAGGCATTTGACACCTGGTTCATTCTCTCCTCGTTCCATCTTATTCCCACAGATAGACAAAATCAGCTTCCAACTTTTAAAATCTAATCCCTCTGCCCGTATTTTTTAAAATTATTGAGGTCATATTGGCTTATAATGTGTAATTTTCAGGGGTACGTTATTATATTTGAGTTTCTGTGTAGACTGCGTCATGTTCACCACCAATACCCTAGTTTTTATCCATTACCATACATATGTGTCCCTTTACCCCTTTTCCCCTCCCCCTACCCCCTTTCCCCCTGGTAACCACTAATGTGTTCTCTTTATCCATGTGTGGGTTTATCTTCCGCATATGAGTGAAATCATACCATATTTGTCTTTCTCTGCCTGACTTATTTCACTTAGCATAATACGCTCAAGGTCAATCCATGTTGTCACCAATGACACAGTTTTGTCTTTTTTATAGCTGCATAATATTCCCTTGTACTTATATATACACCACATTTTCTTTATCCATTCATCCGTTGATGGGCGCTTGAGTTGCTCCCACATCTTGGCTTATGTGAATAATCCTGAAATGAACATAGGGGTGTATAAATCTCTTTGAATTGTTTATGTTCTTTGGATAAATACCCAGTAGTGGAATAGCTGGGTCATATGGTATTTCCATTTTTAATTTTTTGAGGAATCTCCATACTATTTTCCATAGTGGCTGCACAAGTTTGCACTCCCACCAGCAGTGTATGAGGGTTCCCTTTTCTCCACATCTTCTCCAAAACTTGCTGTTTCTTGTGTTGTTAACTATAGCCATTCTGACAGGTGTGAGGGGATATCTGATTGTAGTTTTGATTTTTATTTCCCTAATAATTAGTGACATTGCACATCTTTTTGTGTGAGTTTTCCTCCACCTGTATTTGGTTCCTGACACTCGACTTCTCAATAACTTTACATTATTGCTCATGCATTCTCTCTCTGGTCCTTGCACTGTCTCCCCTTCTGAACAGCATCTTTTCCACCTTCATTGCAACATGCTAAGTCGCTCTCTTTAAAAATACTAATGTTATATGTTTTACCCCTCCCTCTTCTTCTATACACTCAAGACTAGCTTTTGCCTCCTTCATTCCACCAAAAGAGCTCCCTCTTAAGCCCCCAATGGCCTTCATGTCAAGGGATGAAATAAATATCCTTTGGTCCTCTCAGCAGTATTGGATGCTGTGGTTACTGCCTCCATCATGAAACTTCTCTTTGTCTCTGGCTTCTATGTCTCAACACTCCCTGGAATTCTTCCCCTCTCTCTAGCTGAGCTTTATTCATCGTCTTTACATTTCATCTACCCTACCTGGCTTGGGTCTAGAAACACTTCTATTCTCATATTAACCTACCTCGGACAATCTTGTCCACAGGGTCTCAGTGAACCACGCAGGAAATGATGGTCACATATATTTCTCTGACTCTGAATTACCTGTGAGCTCCAGACCACTAATCCCAATTGCCTACTCGAGACCTCCACTTGGATATCTCAGAAGTAGCTCAACATTGTCATAACAGAACTTAACGAGTTTTTTACCAGTTTAATCCTCTTCAGGATTTCTCATCTCTTTGGGTGACATCTCCAGCCATCTTGCACCAGCCAGGACCTGGAACATCCTTCACATTATCGTCTTCTCTACCCTGTTCCACCCCAAACCAATCCATGGCTAAATTTTGCTAATATTTCTTCCTCAGGAGCTCACAAATCTGTCTTGTTGACACCGTGCCCATCACCTTGTCCCTAACTCCAGCTCCCATCTTCTCTTGGCCAGATTGCAATATCCTCCTAACTCGTCTCCCCTCTACTCTTCTCCATCTTCCAATTAGTTTTCCACATAAAATTCAGAATTGTCTTCTCAAAACAAAAATTTGATCATGTACCACCTTGCATAAAAATCCCCCAAATCGTTCCCCATTGCCACTAGGAGCAAGACCAAAATACATGAGGTTCCAATTTCCCCCACATCCTCACCAAAACTTGTTATCATTTGTTTTTATACCTTGGTGGGTGTGAAGCAGTTTTTCATTATGGTTCTGATTTGCATTTCCCTAATGTCTAATGATGTTGAGCATTTTTCCAAGTGCTTATTATCCATTTGCATGTCTTCTTTGGGGAAATATCTATTCAAATATTTTCCCTATTTTTAATTCAGTGATTTCTCTTTTATTGATAAGTTGTAAGAATTCTAGGTGTGTTCTGGATACAAGTCCCTTGTCAGATATTTGATTTGCAGTTATTTTCTCTCATTCTGTGGGTTGATTTTCCATCCTCTTGATAGTGTCCATTGATGCACAAAAGCTTTTTATTTTGATCAAGTCCAATTTATCTATATTTTATTCACTTGTGCTCTGGGTGTCAGCCCTAAAAAAGAATTGCCTAACCCAGAGTTACAATGATTTACACGCATGTTTTCTTCCAAGACTTTTATGCTTTTAAAATTACATTTAGGTATATGATAGGTTTGGAATTAATTTTCTAAAATGCAGCGAGGTTGTTAACATGGTGTGAGGTCCACATGCTGTTGCATATGCCTGTTCGTTTGTCCCATCATCAGTTATTAGAAAAATTATTTTTCTCTCCATAGATTATCTTGACATCCTTGTCAGAATAAACTCACCATAAATGTAAGAGTTTATTTTTGGTCTCTTAACATTATTCCATTCATCTCTCTTGATTATTGTAGCTTTGTAGTAAGTTTGAAATTGGGGAATTGACTCTACAAATTTGTTCTTTTTTTCAAGAGTTATTCTGGACTAATTGAAGTCCCGTATAAATTTTAAGATGTGCTTGTCAATTTTGAGAAGAATTTAACTGAGATTTTGACAAGAATTGTGTTAAATCTGTACATCAGTTTAGGGGGATGCTACCATCTTAACATATTAAGCTTTCAGATCCATGAACACAAATGTTTTTCTGTTTCTTTAGAACTTCTTTGACTTCCTTTGACAATGTTTTATAGTTTTCATTGTACAAGTCTTGCACTTTTTAACACAGTATCATTTTTCCGCTTTCCTTCTCAGGAGAATTAAGTGGACAACTAAGCCAGAAGATCTTGTATCCTGGAATATTCTGAACTTCATCCTTTGGGCAAAGTGTATAAAAAATACTTTTTCATGTTTGTTGCCAGTTACTCTTCATGGCACCATTGTGGGAGAAAGTATGCAGGAAATGTTTGACATTCAGTTGCTGGAAGATTTGGGTTTTCTCATCCATACAGCATGATGTCACTCCCTGCAAAGTCAAGGAGCTATGGCCCAATTCCTCAGTTGCCTTGGATTAACCCCCTCTGCCCTAACCTCTTTTCCAACAAAGATGCTCCTCACTTTGAAGATCTATAGTAAGGAAAACCAACCTCAACTGACTTTCTTAAAATAGCATAAAAGAGAAAAATATTGTTCAACCACCTGCATGTAGTGTAAACAACTAATCCAGTTGCCCAACTTTCCTCCCTTTGGTACCAAATGTCCTACTTCTCATGAAACACTTGGGCTACAGGTAAACTAAAACAGTTGGCCTCCCTGCATACATGCTTCCACTTCTTCACTCTCCATTTCTAAATGCTTACTAATTATTCATTCGAAAGTGTATTTTTATTACTCACCATATGCTACACACAGAACAAGACAGATCCAATTCCTGATTTCACTGAGCTCACAAGTAAACAATAATATTTCTTCTCTTAGTGTGAACCCTGTGGATAGAGTCTGTGCATCTTTACGTTTTATAAGCAGAGCTGTGTAAAAGTGTATTTTAATAGTACACATTATGTAAGATGCATTTGTGTATAACATTATTTCATCCTCGGCATGCAGTCTAGGCAAGATCTAAATCCAGAGCTGTTACACCTACGAGAAATTCCCTGTGGGCCCCACTGACCAAATCTGCATCAATTTGAACATCAAAGAAAATTACTGTAAATAAATATAACATATTAAATAAAAATATGCATGAATTTATGGTGATATATAAAACATCAGCCAATAAATGTAGACGATGTGATAAAATGAGAATATCATGGTTTTTTCAATATCCAGTAAAAGGCCACTAAAAGCATTGGGTGAAAGGCTGCTGGAGGACAGGCTGGTCCCACAGTGACCAAGAGTCCCCTCAGATTACTGGTTCATCACAAGGGCCAAGGTGCACGTCTACAGCATGGAGATCTGCCAGTCACCATCTGAACTTAATGATCAGGCTCAACATCATCAATACGGGAAACCTGACATCAGATATCTCCTGAGAAGACATGAAGTTACAGCATCCCATTTGTGGTGAATGAAGAATTTTGACAAATCAGTCTAACCTAAACCTAATCCAGCTTTAGACCAAGGGTAGACAAACTGTAGCATGCAGGACAAGCACAGGCAGCTAGCTGCTCCTGTGAATAAAGATTTATTGGAGCACAGCCACACCCATTCATGGATGTATTATCTATGGCTGCTCTCACGCTACAGTGTCAGAGTTGAGTAGCTGTGACAGAGACTGTAAGAACGACAAGCTGAAAATATCTACCACCTGGCCCTTTATAGGCAACCTTGCCAGCACCTGTTCTTCCAGATCTAACCTTCAGTATACACGGAATACAGGGGACAGAAGAACAGGTTAAATGACATCAAGAGGAAACAGTCAGGCAAATTGAGAACGTGAGGCATTCAACAAGCCATTGGCCTGGACTCTTCTAAAGTCAATACCGTTTTAAAAATGACTAGAGGCTGCTTGAGATTAAGAGACAGAAGCGACAATACAAACAAATTCAACGTCAATTTTAGTGGGACTCTGGTTCAGATATACAGCTATAAAAGGTGTTTTGCAGGCAATTGGGATAATTTGATTATGCGTCAGATATTAAAAGTTATAAAATTGTTCATTTTCTTGGGTGTAATAATCTTACTATGATTATCTGTGCCGGGGTCCCGCCCCGGCGGAGTCCAGGTTCCTGAGGGATGGACGGCGTCGGCGCGATGAGGGAGGGGGAAAATAAAGGGGATGTGAGACTTGGGTTGGTGTTAGCAAGTCCGACTTTACTGTGCACAAGTGTCGTTTATATATTTTTCAGGATTAGTACAGAAATAGTTTTACAAATATTCTCAGAGAGATAAGGAAGTAAAAACGAGCACAAGAATATTTATTAGCATTCCATTCTATAGAGCATAAGGTTAATGATCGTCTTCTCCGCAATTAACTAGTGTTTGTTGTCTCTAAGCTAAAGGAGATAGGTACCTAGGCATCTGTTGTAATTCACGGTAAAGTTAAATCAAAGAGAGAAGGTCCAGGCCTCCGGACAGGACAGCAGCCCGTCTGGTTACATCCTGGTGGAGCCATCCCTGCCTCCCTCAATCATTTACGCCATTAGTGTAGATGGTTAATGGGAACAAAAGGCGACTCCAGGGTGTCTTATCCCCAGGGCTATCTGCATTCTCAGCGGGCAGTTAAACATCTTTACTTTTTCGCGCCCTTTAGGGGGTGGAAGCATTCCTTTGTCTTTTAGATTGTAGAGCTAACGGTCCCTTAAGTACACTGCCGGAGAAAGTATCATATTGTTAGTAAAGTAAAGGGCTGAAAAGCTAAACTAAACTATATATCTTCAAGAATAAAAAAGAGAAATAAGTATACACATAACCTTGATAGAAAGCATGCATATAATTCAGAAAATATCAGGGGTGTTGGCCGGCCGTCCTTCACCGAGGGGCATTCTTGCACCCCTCGGCCCTTCTACTCACCAATTATTTATTATTTATTGCTTTTAGGAGAAAACCTCTATAATATTTTAACAGAAAGCAGAAGGTCAAGAATAATATATAGATACTTCTTGATCATCCAATTAACCAGCAAACTTAGAAGGACAATGCATATGTATATTTAGACAAAGAACTGGAGGGAGAAGGAAATATTAACCAGATGGAGGCCATAAACCTAATTCGACATCTTATCTGGGCAGGATTCCTTTCTGATTGTCTCAAATGGGACTGTGTGCTCCTCCATTAATTAACTGAAAAATATCTTGAAAGTTACCTGCAGGTGGTCACATTCTCTTACTATATCTAATTTTCCCGGGAGGTAGTGCCTCCCAAGCAGCCACCCAAAGGAGTGAAAACTGGAGGTTAGGATAGGAAGAGGAGTGAAGGGCAATTAGAAGCAGCACAAGTTTCAGAACTATGTGAGGGGCTGGCCAGTTATTCTTCACCAAGGGGCGGCCCTGCACCCCTCGGCGTTAATCGGCTGGACCCTGTCAAACAGCCGATCAAATGATGTAGCCACGGTTCCCAGCATATCTGGAGAATATTCTTTGAAATCTTCAACATTTGTTGAAGAAATATTGAAGAATGAAGCACCATGATGTCTGCCAGTGACCATCAAATGTTTTAGCAAGAATATGTGTGTGTGTATATAGATTGAGAAAGACTTTTTAATGTGGCACTAATTGTTGCTGAATCTAGATAAGTGTTTATTGTATCACTCTTCCAAATTCTGTGTTTAAAAATTGTAAATAAAAAATGTCAGAAAAGTAAATAAATATATTAATTAGTTATTAACTTATTAAACATATACCCTCATAAATTCATAGAAGTTCAGATCAACTGCCTTTTCTTCTGCACAAAACTAACTTTGGGAAGTGACATTTTATAAAACTATGAATTTTCATGGCTATATGGTGATGGATTTAAAAACTAAAAATTAAAATTTTAAAATACTAGAGAAAATAGAGGGAAATAGAAAATGGAAATGAGTACCACTCCCAACTTAATAAGAAGAAAAATCCATATAAACTACAAAATCATTCATTCTCTTGAACCCGTAAGAGAGCTGAGGTCACAGGAAAACAAAGTAGCCTAAAATCTGAGGGAAGGCAGGCTCATCCAGCAGAGACTGTCAGGGCACTGGCTCACCTGTGGCAGAGCACAAAAGGCAGGGATCTGGGTGCCACACAAACAGTTAAGAAGAATTCATCTTCACTTTTTAATGAATTGACCAGGGCCAAGGTGGGCAGTCGTGCGAGTGTAGAATCTCTGAGGGAGTGGCAGGAACGTGCAGAGACCCTCTCTGAGATGCAGCCACGCTGGGCGGGTCTACTGAAGGCAGAGCAATGAGGAAAACCCTCTGGCAAAACAGCCGCCACCAAAAGCACAAGATCACAGGGTAACACTACAATAAACTGAAGCCCAGGGCACGATGCCTCCTGACCGGATAGACAGAAGCCCCTCAAAAACAGCCTAGCAGAAGAATAGCATGCCCACTTCCAGTAATAAATAATAAATCCCTCAGTGTCTACTTGTGATGAGAAACAGCTATTTTGAGTTGCTGCCAAGCCATTTTATAGCGTGACAACCCTGCCCACACCCAGAGTCTGGACGTTTAGATAAGGACCTGAGCTTATGATTTCTGCCACAAGTTCCTAGAGTCGAGCCCATGAAAAGTTAGTGACCTCTGCCCCAAGCACCCCATAAGCGATAGGTGCTTGCAACCCTGCTGTCTATCTCCTGCTCCCTCGTGACCTGGGCCAGAGGACTGTCCTTCCCTTTGGGCTCATTGCACACACACCCTCCAGTCCTGGGGCCTGTAAGTTACAAATCTTGTTACTTTACTGCCTTTGTGTGAGTGTGTGGAAACTGCACCTTCAGTCAGGACAACGCTGGGTTTTCACTTCCTCAGAGGGGGAGCTCGGATGCTGAGGGTACCATCCACTGACCCATGAGGGTGGCTCATGCCTCCTCATTCAGCAGGTCACAATGCATATTCTTAACTTAATACACTAGCTGTGGGCCCTCCCACACACTACTGTCCTACACACATTGTCCAGCATTCAATCAAAAATTATGAAGCACAAGCAAAAGCAAGAAAACACAACCCATGGAGAAATCAAAAGAACCAGAATTAAAGATAGGCTAACAAACAGGACATTTAAAATAACTGAGGTTAATGTGTTAAAGGCTCTAGTGTAGTAGTTCTCACCAGGGGGACAGTTTTGCCCCAGGGTGCAATTTCTGCAGACATCTTTGGTTTCTCAGCTGGAGGGGTGCCTACTGGCATTTAGTGAGTGAGGGCAAAGGATTCTGCCCAACAGTCTACAACGCACTGGACAGCCTCGGCCACAAAGAGTTCTCCAGCCCCCAAGGATCAATACTGCTGAGCTTGAGAAACTATGCTTTAACTACTTTACATTAGATAGATGCTAAAAACGGGTGTTTTCCTTTCTCCATGAGAAACAGGAAAGTTTCTACAGCAACATAGAAAGCGTAAAGAGAAAGTAGCTTTTAACGGGAAATTTCATGTTCTCTTCTGTTACCCTCAAGGTTGAGAAACCCTGTTCTACCCAAAAAGGTGGACAACATGTATGAAGATATGGGAAATTTCAAAAGAAAACAGAAGTCACAATTTAAAATTTCATTAATAGCATCCTTTTAAACAACAATCAAAATCCAAAGGCATAGAAAAAAATTGACAAGCCTTACTACTTAAATAGAAGTTTCTGGATGATAAACTACACCATTAACAAAGCCTGAAGACAAGGTAAAATATTTGCAACGTTAATAAAAGATTAACATCTATGATGTACAAAGAACTTCTAAAATTCAATAATTAAAAGGCTAACAAAATGTTAAAAAAGAAATCTAGAGATAATTAACAGAAAAAGAAAAGTTCTAATAAATATGTAGTAATCAAGGAAATTGAGGTTAATATAAGGAATTGATACTGTCGAGTATCATACTGTAAAAATCTAAGGGTTGGATAACATTCAACATTGGTTAGGCCATGGTGAAATGGATAGCCCCATATGGTACGAGGGTAGATTGATGTAGACACTATATGTTGCAATTCGGTACTAGCTATGAAAATTTAAGACGCACACACCCTGGGGCCCAGAAATCCCACTTCTTTTAATCTCCCTTGGAGAAACACTCCCATGTTCATAGAACAATATTTACAGGAAGGATTTTGCAGTATGTGTGCCAAAGGGCAAGAGCGGAAGAGATGCAAGAAGTAGAATGGACAACACCAGAGTGAGCCCTGATGTGGACCAGAGATCTTGGTGACTGTGACGTGTCAATGGAGCTGCCTCCATTGTAATCAGGGTACTCGTCTGGTGAGGGATGTGGACGACGGGAGAGGCCACACGTGTGTGGGGGTAGGGAGCACGTGGGGAAATCTCTGTACCTTCCTTAATTTTGCTGTGAACCTAAAACTGCTCTAAAAAGTTAATATTTCTAAAAATAGAGCAATTTGGCCAAGGCTCAAATCTCTTGTGGCTGCCCACTTGCTCTCCTGTCCTCTAAGGTGCCCCGGAAACTACCACACCAACAGGGTCACGCTCACATTTTGCTTCTGAGCTCACCAGTGAGCTGGGAGAATCTTCCCAAAGGACCGTAACCCAGTACAAAAGCAAAAGCCTTTTTATGGTGTTTAAGAGTGCACAGCGATAGCCATTCATGTTACTTAAAAGTTAGTAATTACAAATAATCTATTAGGGAGTAAAAAATGAGCATTTCCAAATTAAAAGTAATTTTTTTTATTTTTCAGAGGGCTAAATTCAGTATTCTACCCTGAAATTTGGCCTCAGTGCTTGGGAAAGTTGGAAAACTCTTGCGGCGCAAGTGTGCCTGCAGAGAACTGAAGGGCCCGTGTTTGGGGTGAAGGAAACTTTGCCAGATGGAAAACATCAGAACTGTTTTGACTTCATTGTGCTTCTCAATCACTGTTATTCTTGTCCTCTAATTAAAAAGGACTGTTAACTTTTCTTAAATACGCAGGCATCCACAAATCAGGAATGACAAAGTAAATGGGGGTATATCTGTCAGAATAAGAAAGAATAAAATACATCTGTCTATAGCACAGCTCCTACACTGACGTGAAATGAGCTACAATAGACATAGTTGAGTGTGAAAAAGCAACTT